ACACACACACACACACACACACACACACACACACACACAAACACACACACACACACACACACTTTGTTCTTTCTCTCTTTCTCCACATCCGCCCTCTTTCTTGTGTTTGAAGAAAACAAGATATAACGAAGGATGATGGTGCTTTTTCCATTTAAAAAAAGGATATATTGTTTTTGGAACTTATATTTTTACTTTTTTTCTGTGACTATGTTTGCTGAGGCACAGACTACATACACTAAGACTTCTGCTGGATCAGTATGTTGCTTCGAACGAGCACGATTTCTATCCACCCAATTATTGAACATATTTGTACTTCTTATAACGTGGATGGACCATGAACTTTGAACCTTTTTGTGTAGCTTCGTTTTGTGTGTATAATTTGTTCTGTTATCGATGCCTGAACCCTATCCTACCCTACCCTTAACCCGTGTTGTTTCAGAGAGAAGTTCTGTAGCCAAGCACTCAAAACAGCTTTATAGATTATATTATTATATTACGAAGAAGAAGATTGCTTACAGATGTCTTACCCATTGTATAGTCAGCAGTGCTAGAAGTCAAGGGGGTACGTTTGTGTCTTGAATGAAAACAGAGCGCATGAATTGGGTTCGAATTACCGTTTGGAGCGCTCAAGAACTCAGGTTTTGTTTTTTGTTAGTTAGCTTTCCCTTCACTTGGTTCGATTTTATCAGTGAGAGATGCTAAGTTCAGAGTTCCCTCCTCATAAGAGTAGATACAGGAACAGGGTAACATAACTCATCAATTTCTGTCTGTAGGTACTTTGTTCTTAGAGACAGCAGCTGTCTGGATAGTGGACGTTAGGCGCCACTCCGTTGCACGCAGGATACGGGAGTCTGATTCCCCTGTGAGGAGTATCTGCTGCGTCTTTCTGCTGGGATGTTGTATCCCTCTCACCCGGGCTGGCCTTGAAACATGGGACCGAGGAAGCCCGCCTCATAAATGATCGAAATAATGACGGTAGGGTCGTGAAACTACTACAATAACTTTATCAGAAGAGAGACAGACTTGCAAGCAGTAATTGGTTACAGAACATCTCTCTGATTTCTACCCGGATCTTGAATGCACCGCAATGCCAACTGACAATATTGCTGACACGTCCTCCTCCCACCAGCATGATATCTGTCGCAAATACAGGCTAATCAGAGCCTGATTGTGGTGTTTGTGATTTTTTTTTTCGTTGTGCACTACATAAATCCCAACTTTGGGAATTTTGCTCACGATAAAATGTGGCAGCGGTGTTTCAATGTCCTTTCATTCTTTGAATATAATGTTTATTTCATCCGAGACGTAATTAACTTCAAGAGTCGGAAACCAACCAGTGAGTGATATCTGCTGAGCTGGATTTTATTCAACTTGCGTGGACAGACGAGACTGTTACATTCACGTGGATTTATTTGCACATCTCACAAAACATCCTAGTTCTAGTATTTTTTTTGTGGTCAACACTCTGTTCCTGTCGTACAATCCTGAACGTTTGCCATTCCATGAGAAGTCAAAGTGCTGTCATACGTCATGTAACAGGGAAATGATAAGCTGAAATTAAAAATTGAAGCCAGGATACAGCCATTTGAAATATTATTTATTCAATTTATTTACCTTTTTTAAGAGGCCCTTATAAAATTGAATATAAAGAAGAAGAAGAAGAAGAAGAAGAAGAAGAAGAAGAAGAAGAAGAAGAAGAAAAAGAAAAAGAAGAAGAAGAAAAAGAAGAAGAAGAAGAAGAAGAAGAAGAAAAAGAAGATGAAGAAGAAGAAGAAAAAGAAGAAGAAGAAGAAGAAGAAAAAGAAAGAAAGAAAGAAAAGAAGAAGAAGAAGAAGAAGAAGAAGAAGAAGAAGAAGAAGAAGAAGAAGAAGAAGAAGAAGAAGAAGAAGAAGAAGAAGAAGAAGAAGAAAAAGAAAAAAAAGAAGATGAAGAAGAAGGAGAAGAAGAAGAAGAAGAAGAAGAAGAATTACTCTATCACTGCTTAGAATTTTTTCAACGTTACGCGTGACACTGCAATTTCATTTTTCATGGAATTGCCTGTTTATATTACTGCATTGACATGCAAAGATTGAAAGATTCCCTTTATAACAGGGAGTGGCAAGACGTATTATTATGTGACGCTTCCTCGGCATAATTTTGATCATGCTGGACTCGGGTAAGTTCTCAAATACTCAATGCTGGACACTTTAGAGAGAGGTAGTCTGGTTCAAATCTCTAGCTTGGATGGGCTACTAAATACTGACAGAAATACCGGCACACTCGATAAAACATTTCCCCAAATAGTAAAATGGAAACCATGCCTTTGAGTTGCAAGGCTGGAAGCGCAATTCCTACACAAGAAACCCAAACAGTCAAAGCTTATGGACAAAGAAATTGTGAGCAGTTTGTTTCATCCTGAATTACGGAGCAGATGACCGTAATTCGAATCTTCAACGAGTCAATCTTGAACTTGGTGAGTTGATGGAGTTCAGAAAGCTCTCGGCCCACTTTGCTTTGTCTTGTTTGAGTTGCACTTTGGAATTCGGACGTCCCTTCTCTTAAATCTAGATCTACCTTATGATATTTTAAAGGGCGTTAAGCCAAGTATTTTTCATGCCAAAGTGTTTGTTGAAAGCAGAGCGAGACTCGCCGCTGTTGTTGGAGGAGATCACGCCCTGCCGTGGACTCGAGCCAAGAAAAGAAAAGGAAAAAAAGATAAAAAGTAAACTGTGATATACCCAAATTCAACGTTAAATCTGGCCAATGTATCCAATGCCAAAGATTATCTTATGTGAAAATGGTTTTAAAATTTTGTTCAATTTGTATGCCACTTGGCCATTATGTTGAACTTTGTTTACCTTGCCCCCTCGATGGAGAATATATTAAAGCTATATAATGTGTATGATAACTCATACTACTTTCCTGGTTGATGCTTGTTCCTCCCCCCCCCCCACTACAGAGAACACTTACCCCAGACTCTAGGCTCTGAAAACAAGTGGTGTTTGAAATTTTATGTTTTTGCAGATTTCCAGGGATCTAAATTGCTGGCCAATTCACTGGAAATCTGGCTAGGTCTACTTTGGGGGTAAAAGTTGATTATGTAGCATTGGTGTAAACACGTAAAACCCTTCATGTTATGAGGGGGAGTAATGCTGCTACGACCAACTTAACATATCTTCAATACTTGCAGCGATATACCTAGCGTGTCTCCGCTATTCTAGCAAAATATTAATGATAATGAACTTTAACATTTTCCGCAAGCAGCTTGCGAGAGGGTCTCCTAGAGCTCATTCCTCACTTCTTTCTCTTCCGAGTATAATAAAACTAGTGTTGCTGTTTCTGTATTTCTATTTCTAGTTCTTTACCTTGGCTGTGATCACCACTATGATATGACACATAGATCTAATAAATGAACAAGATGTTTCAATGGTTGTTTTCCATATAGGGTTGCAGGTGTTCAGACTATGGGCAGATGAACGCGGTAAGACGAAAAAGTCAGAGCTCAGTAGATCATTCTTCGAAGACATTAAACTTTGAGAAAGTACAAGAAGCTGACTGGCCCTTTTGAACAGATTACGGAGTTTTGAAGCTTCCACGACATTACAATTGCCACACCTCGACTCGAGAATGGCACCGTCTGTCAAGTCTTAGTGTGAGTGTCTCTAAACACAAAGGTGTGTGAGTCTCGAGATGTCGGCTCCAAAAGTCATGCTTCCCAGCTTCTCTGTTTGCTGACATACAAATGACACAAACAAACCTTTTACGTCAACCACGTACATGGATGAACATAGGTCAACCGTTATTTGAAGAGTGGTTTTCGTTTGTCAGCGTTCAAACAAACAAACAAATGAAATGTGATCACAATCCCTGTCCATACTCCTTGTTCACAATCGTTTTGTTTTGCTATATTTCTGCTTTTTCTCTTTTATCCTTACCTCCTTGCATTTCCCCTTTCATCTCTCCTTTCTAGGTTTATTCTCTCGAAGGCTTCTGTTTATTCTGTTTCACTGTTTAAACCTTTATCTCCTACTCAGTCTTCTTTTATATCTCTTTCGCATTTTCTTCCTCTGTCCCATTTGTTCGACCTCATTTTGCCACCCTCTTGACTAACCTTCTCTTTTATCTCCTTCTCTTTCTTCATGCCCCCCCCCCCCCCTGTACCCCGTCTCCCCCTCTTCCTCCTCCTCTCCTCCTCCTCCCCTCCTCATCCTCCACCTCTTCCACCTCCTCCTTAGAGTTTACTATTGCACCAACAGTGCAGAAAGTCAGTGGACCTTAATCAACACTGCCAAGCATACATTGTATGCCATTGCTCTACATGCAACGCATATTTAATTGTTCATAACATAATAACATGTTTAAATCTTTTTACTATTTTTACGGCTGTTTATTTTCATTTGATATCGTAATTGAATTTTGACACATTTTTATCAGCATTTCATCATATGTGAACAATGTGATTAGAATGGCGTAAGAAGAAAATGGCAATATCAGAAATCCTCAAAAGAGGAGATACCTTCTCACTTACTTTGTGACGAACAATTTTAAAGATCAACTGAGGGATTGTTCAGCTTATCTAGTGATTTATTGATTGACTGATTGATTTGTCGATCGCTTGTTTGGTTTGATTTCCTAACTGATTGATTTCTATTTGATTGAATGTATAATTAATTGCTTGTTGATTGACGGGTTTGTTAGATTGT